ATGGTGCACCTGCCTAGTGGTGAGAGTGGGGTGTTGAAGTTTCCCACTCTAAGTGTGTGCAGTTTTGTGTGTGATTTGAGTTTTAGTAATGTTTCTTTTAGGAACGTGGATGCCTTTTTATTTGGGGCATAAATGTTCAGAGGTGACACTTCATCCTGATGCATTTCTCCTGTGATGAGTACGAAGTGACCTCCTTCATCTCTTTCGATTGATTTTAGTTTAAAGTCTAATTTGTTGGATATTAGGATTGGTATCCCTGCTTGTTTCTTGGGTCCATTTGATTGGAAAATCTTTTCCCAACCTTCAATTCTTAGGAACCATCTGTCTTTGAAGTTGAGGTGTGTTTCTTGTATGCAGCAGAAGGATGGATTCTGTCTTCTTATCCATTTTTCTAACCTGTGTCTTTTTATGGGCGAGTTAAGACCATTAATATTGAGGGATATTATTGACCATTGATTGTTCATTCTTGTTTGTTTTGGATTTGGTGGTGGTGGTGAAGTTATGTGTGGGTTTCCATCCCTTTTTTCTTTTGGGTATTGGTAAAGTAGGATTCTCTATTGCCTATATTTTTCTGGTTGTAGTTAACTTCCTTGGGTTGCAGTTTTCCTTCCAGTACTTTCTGTAGGGCTGGATTGGTGGATATATTGTTTGCATCTGGTTTTGTTATGGAATATCTTTTTTCTCCATCTATATTGATTGAATTCTTTGCTGGTTTATAGTAGTCTGGGCTGGCATCCATGGTCTCTTAGTGTAGGTAGAATATCTCTCCTAGACCTTCTGGCTTTCAGAGTTTCCATGGAAAAGTCATGTGTAATTCTAATAGGTTTGCCTTTTTATGTTACTTGACCCTTTTCATTTGTTGCTCTTAATATTTTCTCTTTATTCTGTACGTTTGGGGTTTTGATTATTATGTGGTGAGGAGACCCTTTTTTTTTTTTTTTTGGTCCACTCTATTTGGTGTTCTGTAAGCTTCTTGTACCTTTACTGGCAGGCCTTTCTTTAGGTTGGGTAAGTTTTCTTCTATGATTTTGTTGACTATGTTTTCTGCACCCTTGAGGTGGGTTTCTTCACCTTTTTCTATACCTATTATTCTTAGGTTTGGTCTTTTCAAGGTGCCCCACATTTCCTGGGTATTTTGTGTTAGGGATTTGTTGGACTTAAGATTTTCTTTATTTGATGAGTCTATTTCTCCTAGTGTATCTTCAACTCCTGAGATTCTCTTTTCCATCTCTTGTATTCTGTTTTTTATGCTTGCATCTGTAGTTCCTGATTACATATCCAGCTTTTCTATTTCCAGCATTCCTTCAGATTGTGCTTTCTTTATTGTCTCTATTTTAGCTTTTAGGTCTTGAAATGTTTCCTTGAAAGATTTGTTGATATCTTGTATTTTTTGTTTTTTTTTTGGTTTGTTGTTTCTTCCATTTCTTTAAGGAATTTTCTCATCTCCTCTTTGAGGCCCTCTATCATTTTCATGAAGATGTTTTAAAGTCATTCTCTTCTGCTTCATCTGAATTTTGATGTTCAGGTCTTGCTGGTGTAGAGTCTCTAGCCTCCAGTGGTGTCATATTGGATTTTCTGTTGTTGAGTGTGTTTTTATATTGTCTTCTTCCCATCGTTTCTTCTGGTGGGTGTAGCAGGAGTCTCTTCCTCTCCTGGTGGCTATGGGATCAAGGTTCCCTTCTGGTAAATGCACACAGATCCAATACTCTGATGTCTGTCCTCTTCTCCTGGGCTGGTGGATGGAGGTGGGACTGTTACTGGGACCTTGGCAGTCTCTGGGTGTGGCCGAATTTGGATCCCATGAGCAGACCTCTGGAGTCAGGCGTCCCTGATTAGGGCCAGCCTTTACAGGGATACTCAAATGGTTCAGATCAGTAATGATTGACAGCACTATGTGCTTAATATGTACATGAATTTGTAGGAAGCATCCCAGACAATACAAAGTTAAGTAATTTGAATATATTGGCCCTAATTTTTTAGACAAAAAATATCTACCTCAAGAGTCATATAACACAGTGGCCCCACGGGATGGAAATATTTCCAAAACTCTCAGAAAAAAATGTCATGACATGATATAATGATGAATATTGTCTTTGCAGTTAATGTATGGAAACTTAGAAAAGCAGCTCAAGCGAGGCACACTTTCTACAGCATCTTTAGACTGAACTAAATCTTGAAATGTTAGGTGTGGACAGGTGAGGGAATTTCACATGAATTATAAGTTGTAGGTTGTGGTGTGAGAAGGGAATTAGTGCCAAGGATGAAAGGTGCCTTAAGTGAGTGTAACTTCAAGTGGATTGACATGGACATCGAATTAAAGATTGATGTCTATCAGGCACCTACATGAATAAATGCTTCTGTCATGGCTCCATTTGTTGAAAATACACTGATTTTCACTGAATACTGTTGGCACTCATCATAAATGTAAGGTGTTTGTTTTGTGAGCTGTCCATTCTGATCCACTGAACTTTATACTACTTATGCTAGCTTCGTCCAGGGTTTACTATCTGTGTTTAAGCAGTGTACCTCACTCACAAGTTTTAGGGCCTTCCATTTTTCTTTACCACATTAACAATTGAGACCTTCATTTTCATGACTAGCCCTCACATAACATGCTGGCTGCCTTTCCTTTTTCTTATGTGTATTTTTGAGTGAAACTTTGAAACAAAGGAAATGGGGTGTCAATTCTTTTGTTTACGTGTCAGGAAGATGGGACATTGCATGGCTTACTTGCCTGAGGAGTCTCATGCAAAATTTTTTCCAGACATGACACTGGGTGTAGGAGGTGAGGATGTGTCAGGAGTTCTGCATGTCTGTTGAACACATGTCAGTTCCTTCCCCTGTTATACTTTTCAGGATCTGTCAGGTTAAACTCATCACATGTTAGTCATTTTATGTGCTGTAATAAGTATATTGACAAATAATTTGCTGGCTATCATGGTCAAACCATTCCTAGGAAAAGAACAATCCAAAGACGGAGTTTATTCATGAAAACTTGATCTTCTCAGTATCTGACCTGTTTGCTGCTGGGACTGAGACAACAAGCACAACACTGAGGTACTCTCTGCTGCTCCTGCTCAAGTACCCAGAAGTCACAGGTAAGGACACAGGAGGGAAGCAAGTGAGTTTCAGCAAGGAATTGGAAGAAATCCCTAGAGTCCTTGATTTTGTTTGTCATAAGGAAGCCTCAAATTTTAACTTTCTCTACCACTACAGTCTGCTACATCCCCCAACTCCTCCCCAGGGATAGTGAGGCCCTCCATGAGTGACCTTCAAAATCTGTCATATCATTTGGGGGAGGGCCTAAGCCTTCTTTCCTGTATCTGGGCTTAGGCAGAATTTCTAAAGACATTTTATTTATTATTCTAGAAATAAGTTTCCATAAAATACTATTTAACATAGGACAGATTATTGGGGAGTGTTCTATAATTTTATCTTTAATTGAAAGATATTCTATGTGTTTGAGTGTTTTGCCTGCATTTATGTGTGTGTACCATGTTCATGCCTGGTGCCCACAGAGAACAGAAGAAGGCATTAAATACCTAGAATTGAAATTTCCAGGTGGTTTTGAGCCACCATATGAATGCTGGGAATTGAACACAGGTCTTCATGTGGTAAGAAGTAATATGCAGGAATATGGAGAACTCATGGGAAGGATGACACTGTCAGGGATGCTACTCAGAATCACACTTAGAAAATATCCAGTTTAGAATGGACCAATGGATGATGAAGGTATGAGGAGAGAACCAAGGACAAAAGGGAAATAAGTAGTTGATAGTATGAGACTTCCCCATAACTGGACAGTATTGGCAGGACTTTGAAACATCTATCTGAATATTTAAAAATAATTCTATTAAAATAAAAAATGTGAACATATAAAGAGAAATAGTTAAGTTCAAGATAGCACCAACAATGACAATAGCATCAACAAAACTAATAGTCATTGTTTTCTTACTAGGGCACAGATTTTATGTAGACACAAAGATTTACCCAATGGACACAAACAAAGTCTCCCTATGAGAAATTGGATTGAGGGAAAAGTTTATATTTAATATATGTAGAGATTATGAAAACATTATTTCCACATGAAGAAGAATTTAATCTCTCCAATGATGGACAAGAAATAAATAGTAATTACATATAAACATAGATTTCAGGAGAAACTGTTAGTATATGGCTATATATGGGAAGTAAAAGGGTATTACATACCTTTGGAAACTATATACAAAAATGCATGCAATCCATTACAATTTATTTATTTTTTTCTAGACCAATATGGCTGTTAATTTCTGTACAAGGCCAACTCAACACGGTAAACTGGGAGACTTTTTTCCAAAGTTGACAGCACAGCTAAAGTTTCAAAAAAATCAAATTATATATATATATATATATATATATATATATATATCAATAATAGCAGTATGTTATGCAACAATAGCAGCAACAGCTTTTCTTAGCTTTTCAATCATCATCTGGAAGGAAACCATTCTAAGCAACATCTTTAAAAACAGCTCTGATAAGGCACGGTCACTACTATGTATCATAAAGCAGGTGCACATATGACTGAGTACATATAATGTTTGTCTTTCTGTGATTTGGTTACCTCTCTCAGAATGGGTTC